AGCCAGCAAGAACTTTGTCCTAAAATGTTTTTTGTGCAAGCAATCTTTGGATGTATTCAAAATTGCGGGAGGTATCCTGAAAGAGAACAACAGTTCTTTTACATGGGAAGGAAAGCACCTAGACCACATGTTTCAGCAGGAGAAAATAACTTACCCAGGGGAGGTAAAGACCAGCAACACTTTTTCCCTTTGCAGCTTGGATCCATTTGTTGGAGCTAGTGTCCTGAACATGAATCACATCACCTTTCCTTGGAAATATACACAAGCTCATCCTGCAGATGAGAGCTGCCTCGCAGAGGTTAAGGCCAGCAACTGCTTTCTGTTCTGGAATCTCTTTTGTGGGATCAGTCCCTGGATGTATTCAATTGAGCAGTGATATCCAAATTTCTAGGAGGGAGAGAGAAAGGGAGTGAAACAGCTTCCTGGGAAAGGAGAGCACCTTGCCCCAGTGTTTTTTGTATAGATGCTGGGCTGCCCAGACAAGGTAAACAGCAATAAAACCTTTCTTCTTGGGACTTTTTTTTTTTTTTTTTTTTTTTTTGGTGAGAGTAATCCTGTGCCCTATTTAATTTTGAAGATTGAATTTAAATTTTGCATATGCCCTCCAAAAAGTGAACTGTATCTTTCCTTGTGAAAGAAAGCATGTAACCCCAGTAGTGGTTGAAGTCACCAGGCTGCTCAGGAGACCTAAAAGCCAGTAACAGTTTGTTCTCTTGGGGCCTCCTGTATAGCCTCAATTTTGGAACCTGTTCAGATTTGAAGGCTGTATTTCAGTTTTGGATGTGGGCTCCAGAAAGTGGATGAGACTGCCTTTCCTTGGGCAGAAAAGCACTAAGCTCAGTATTGTTGGAGCAGATGACAGTATGCCAAGGAGAGAAAAGGACCAGTATCAGCTTTGTGTTCTGGCAGCTTTTGTTTGGGAGCAATCCCTGGATGTCTTTAATGATGGTGCTCAGATTCAAATTTTGGAGGAGGTATTCTGAAATTTATGGCAGCACCATTCAACTTTGCAAGGAAAGCACTTAGTCCCCACGGTGGTGGTGCAGATGAGAGGCTGCCCAGGAGAGGTAAAGGCCAGCACAAGCTTTCTCTCCTGGCACCTTTTGTTTGGGCTCCAAGCCCAGACTGATTCTTTTTTGGAGGGGGTAACAAAATAGGGGATGTTGTCATCTGAAGACTATGAGAGTAAATAATTTATTTTGATGTATCTGGTTTGCTATCCTTGATCTTGCAGGACTAAGACAAATTCCCACCCACACTGAGACTACTGTGCATTCCTTCCCAAAGAAAAGTAGTGACATCCTATTTCAGAATCCCAGCTCTGGAATTTGCAGCTGAGCTCCAAAATTGAATGTGTTCAAGATTTGCTCCTACACAGAAGGTTCCAGGACAGAAAGATGTTTCTGGCCTTTACCTCCATTAAGCAGGCAATCATCTAGAGCACCCCCACTGTCAATACATGCTTTGCTTCCCTAGGAAAGGTACCTCCTTCAGGAGCCACTTACCCAATTCTGCATACTACCTGCAGAATTATGGAATACATTGCTCTCATGCAAAATGTGCCAGGATGGAAAACCCTTCCTAGCCTTTCTATCCCATGAACAGCCTATCATCTGCATTGCCAATACTGGGAGTACGTGCCTTCCTTTCCAAGGAAAGCTACTGCCATACTTCTTCAGAAGCCCCTCTCCTAACTTTGGATACCAGCTCCAAAAATGAATACAACTGGTGATTGCTCCCATAGGAAAAGTGCTAGAAGAGAAACTTATTGTTGGCTTTTATACTCCCTGGGCACCTCACATTTCCAACACCAAAAATGGGATCAGGCTCTGTCCTTTCTATGGATTGGTATTGTCATTCTTTTTCAGAAGACCTGCTCTGAAAATTGGAGCCATCCTGAATTCATTCAGTCCGGAATGCATTCAGGGACTGATCTCACACAAAAGCATCCAGGACAGAAAGTTGTTGCTGGCTTTTACCACCTCTAGGCAGCCTTTTATCTAAATCACCAACACTGGCACTATGTGCATCCCTTCCTGAGGAAAGAAAGGTGCTGTCATCCTCTTTCATGAGCCCAACACTGAAATACGAAGCTGAGCTCCAAAACTGAACATGTTCAAGGATTGCTCCCATACAAAGGTTTCCAAGAAAATAAAATATTCCTGGCTGTTAACTCCCCATGGCACGTTATTATCTGCACCACCAATAACAGGGCTAGGTGCTTTCCTTCCCAAGGAAAGGTAATTTGATTTTTCAGGAGCCCACCCCAGAATACGTCTGGGGATGGCTCCCACACAAAAAGTGCCAAGAGAGAAAGTTGTTCCTGGCCAAGAATTTCTATAGGCACCCTACAAATCTGCACTACCAACACTGGAGCTGGGTGCCTTCCTTCCCAAGGAGAGGTAATGTAATCCTCCTTCATGAGTTGACCTCTGAAATTTGGATACCACCCCCAAAAGTGAATAGCCCTGGGGATTGCTCCCACAGACACAATGCCAAGACAGAAAGATGCTGCTGGCCTTAATCTCCCTTGGGCAACCAATCATCTCCATACCAATACTGTGGCAAGGTGCTTTCCTTCCCAAGGAAAGGCACCATCATCCTCTCTCAGGAGCCCACATCACAGTATTTTCTCCCTCACTAGCAATGACAGCATGCATAAGAAAGTTCAGTGCAAGAGATTAATTTGCCTTCCACAAACCTTGAAACTCAGAGCTGCATAGTACTACATGAAAACGTGAAGAATTCACAAAGGGAGTCACACACATACAAAAAATCTTACTTTTTGAGGTCAACACAGACGCTCTGCCTTTTAGGGCAGAGACAGCTCCCAGTTCTGTCCTTAATGCACTGCTAGAGATGGATGGTGAGAGCTGGTTTGAACAGGCACATACCCCTGATGGCAACCGAGGGCATACAAGCCTCAATACTTTTACTTAAAAGTCCATGGGTCTGAACTGGCAGGTGTGGCTACACTACACAATTCATGTCAGCCTGGGATGTAGCAGAAGGGAAACACCTAAAGGACAAAGACTGCAAAAGAATGTCCCCACACACAGTTCTGTTGCTGCCTGTTACTCTGACATTTCCAACCAGTTAAGAGTCCAAATTTCTCTGTAAGATTTTGAAGTCTTGTAAGTCCAGCACAAAGCTGAAATAGTAATTTTATGACTGAGAAGACCACAACAAATTCTGGTATTCTGTATAACACAAAGCACAGAATCTCATTCAGTCCTTCATCCACTATTTTGATTTACATGTAAAAGGTTTACTAAAATTCTTGTAGAGGGAAGAAAAAAGAAAGGACATAAAAGCACAAAAATTGTCCGTGTTTTAAAAGTCCTTAAAAAAGCCTGTGAAACAATTCACAGGACAGATTTTCAACAAGAACAATGACAGGTCCATAGGCTTTTTGGGATAACATCTGGATAGATGCAGGTTAGCGAAGTTCCATGATTTTATGGGTAAGCAGGACTGATTAACTTCAGAGACCAGAATAAGAGTCTGAAAATTACATGTACCTTTTAAGATTCCTACATTCACACACCACATGTGAAAAATGGACCAGCCCAACAGACAGCTGTCAGTGATATTCCCCAAACTCCCATGGTCTGCTATTATCCGCTCTATGGACTCGGTGACTTCTATTGTCTTTTATCCCTGCACCTGTCCCCTGGTTTTTACTACTACTTTGTTAAGAATAATAATTTCACACAGCTGGTAGTTGATTATTCTGCATCCAAGTAAATGTTGTAAATATGGGTAGTTTTATAACTTGTAATTATTGACAACGAGCAATTGTGTAACAATACCAACCAACAGTGTCATAACATCTGTATTTAAATTATCTTCACATGTTGATTAAACACACCATTTTTCACTGCCACCTAAAAGTATCTGACAGGCCTGTAGAAGTGCAACCTGATGAGGCTCCATCTGAAGGACTTCAGTGGATCCTGTACTAAAGCAAATCAAGTGTACTTTTAACAAGAGTCAAAGTAACAGGAATGAAAACTCAGAAACAATAGAGGCTGCTCAATGAAAATCCTTCTTATTTCCTAGATCATTGCCTGAAAAAGTCCCAAATGTTGCCAGGCTGACATGAAACGTATCATCTGATTTATCACCACTGGGCTGAGAAATAAAATTGCAATATGATTTAGAACTTTTCAGTCTCTCTCATCACCAAATACTTCTAAACAAAATCATACCAGTTCACCTGACAGCTTGAGACTTATGGCCTTCAACAGTTAATTAAGTTGAATATATACACATTCTGGAGTGCTATTTTGATTACTGAGTCTTGTTTCTTCCCAAATCTCTCACATCCATCTCCTCCTCTTCCACAGTAAATATGAAATAGTAGATTATAAAAAATTAGGAAACCTTGTTAAAGTATCATACTGAATTCTTACTAGACTATTAACATATAACAAGAAAGCCTTAAATGTTATTTCTCAAGTTAACAAGATATACTCAACTTACTTGTATGGCTGTATTATTTTCACTCATTACTTGTTAATAATTCTCAGCATTTTTATTTTAAATTCTGCCTATTTTGGCTCTGTCATTCATATGAAACAGCAGGTCTTCCACATGGCAAATTTAATCTTCAGTAAGTTGAGAAGAATATTCATGTAATTAAGAATATGCAATTAAAAAAGAAAACCAATATGGCAAAATACACACTACTGAGGAAATATAATGAGTAATTTAGTAGATACCCAACTTTGGTACAATTACCTCTGTATTATTAGATTTCAGCTTTGTCTGAAGAATCCTAAGCTACTGGTTTGGGCCTATTAAATTTATAAATTATATAGAGACTACTTTGCTACCATTTTCAGAACTGCTTGAGCAGTACTACATAAATGAATAATGCACCAGTAGAGACTTTCACAGCAGAAAACTTACACAAAATAGAAAAGCCTTTGTAGAAAGGATAGTGGTTTTTATTGCAGACTTAGAAAATACTGAATTACGAAAAATACAAAATCAACTGTTGTAATTATCTGTTTATTTTACAATCTGTATGCCATCATACCATATGGCTTTAAGATAGTCTGTTCAAAGTATTTTAAAACATGCTTTAACAAAGTATTTTACAATTTCAAAAATGAATATTTCTTTACTGGAAGAGAAAAAAAATAAAACCAAACTCCAAAAACATTTTCCTGAGAATTCTGTATCATAAAATTGTCATTCATTCATAACATTTGCAAGTTGATGATATAGGCTTATAGAAGTCAACATGCAACTTGTAGGTCTATGGTATTAAATAAATATTTTAAAAATTAATTAGATGCAGCTGGTCAGGCACAAACCTACCCTCAAACTTCATCAAGTTCATATCAGGTTTAAAAACATGATGTTACTTTTATCATAGGTCAATGACTGCCATGATTCCTGCCCTGGAATCCCTCCACCATCAGCTACATGCAATTCAGGCTGTGGCTGATCCCCAGACTCCAGCAGTGGAGCACAACTCTTCAGGGATATTGCAGCCTCACACTTGGTCTTCACTGACCTCGTGTTCCAACATCTGCAGCGAAGTGTGTCAGGCCTTTGGGCCACTGGATAAGCTCCCAGACAGCCATTCCCTACAAAGACGCTCCACCTTGTTATAATAAGGACTTCACCCAAGGAATTCTATTTCCAACTATGTGCACTACTAGGACAATGTTTTAATGCCATTGTCCACGTCATTTCAGAATATCACCAGCTTTAAAAGTGATAGTAGTTATGAACAGTAGAGGTTTGGGCTTTGAATTTTGTTTTTTATTATTTCCTTTTGGTTTGCTTTTTTAAACAAAATGGAGACATAAGAGCAAAATGCTTCCCAGGGTGGCAGTGTGGGAGGGAGACAGGATTAAATTAACCAGGAATCTACAGAAACTGAAGAAAAAGCCCAGAGAGCTTCATGAAGTAATACATATACAGGATCATCATATCTCAATTATGTAATTTAAAAGAATTTCAATCCAATTATCATCATGTCTGCCATGTAGTATTTATTTCTGAATTTCAATTACTGCAAGCACTGTGATTTATACAAGCTATGCGCCATCAGCATATTTTTTCCCTTAAAAAAGTAATGATACATGATGAAAATCCCAGGATTCACTAGAGATTTGAATCAACTTTCAGTCCCATAGGTGAGGTAGTGTAGTCATTTGTGTTGCGTGCTGGTTATGAGAAGTCCTGTTGAAATCTGTTAATTTTTAAATTTTTGTTTTAAATAAGTGGCTTACTGTATTTATTAATGCTATGTTACCTATGGATGCTGGGGAGAGGAAAAAAAAGAGCCTTGCCAAGAACAAGTTTTGCCTTGCTGCAAGGTAAAACTGAAAAGCAGTATTTACAAGGGCTGTTGCTTAGTTGCTGCCTACTGTACATGCACACAAAGACACAAAAAGCTAATACACATTCTGAGGTAGGAAATGAAGAATTCCACTGGCTTGTACAAGATTCTTCATGTTTTGTAAACCAGCAAACCCAAAGTTTTCTGTGGTGAGGTTCAATACTTAGTTCTGGTGTGAGAATAGCATCTCAATAACAAAACATCATTGGTATACAATATGCATCCACTGCTATGTAAAAATCTAGAAAATGGGGATTATTTTCAGTAGCTGAATTTCTCCTTCACCAAGTAATAAGGAAGTAACTCCAGCTAATTTCTTCAATAAACTTTTAATATATCTATGCTAACAGCACAAGCCATTGAAAATATACTACAGGTTTAGCCATCAAGTATCCTGAAGATTGATTCTGAAATTGAACTTTACTGGTCCCAGTGATCAGAGAACAAATATTTGTAACTTACTTGAGGCAGTTAGGCACTGAAAGAAAAAAATGTGGTGCCTGAATACCTTAAAAAAAAAAAAGTCTGTCCTTAGACTTTCACAATACTTTGATTCCAACTTGCCACAAACAAGCAGCAAGCTTGAAGGTGCTAGGACAGGAAGTCACAATACAACTGTGAGTTTAATAAGCCTATGGGATTCAGATGCCAGAGGATCCAATGCACACTCATCCAAGAACTGCACCAGTTTCAGATGTCTGCCTTCCACAGTGCGTTGTTATTCCTCCCACTACATTTAGAGAAGAGAGCAGTATGTGGCAGCACCTCTGCTGCTCCAGTTCTTTTAATTCTGTACTCCAGCGACAGGACAAAACCACTTACTCAATAAAAGCCTACTACCAATCAATTCTACTACTACTAGTAGCCTACTACTTTAATTCAGTAAAGTCTTCTCTGGGATGGGGAGGGGAGCAGCAGGAAGCAAGGAGCTATACCAGAGTGCACTTTTCACAATCTCCTCATCCTGTCATGTAACAGCCCATCTACAAAATGAACATTTACAGAGCTATATATGCTTTTAAGGTTTGTCTACCAGGAAAAAAGAAGTCTTAGAAGAATTCCAGGTATAGAAGTCATTGCGCATAAACAGCTGTCATGAGGCTTTCCTTAAAATGCAGAGTAACATTAAGTACTGTGGCATAAATCAGAGTAGGCTGCTCTACACGTGAACAAAATTTCCTCACAAATAAGCACCTGTGCATGGAATTTGTACTTTCCAACAGCTTTCCTGAACCCTCCTTGGCATCACCACACAGAAAAAGCTCCAAGGCTGACACATACAAATTATGTTCTGGAACTACACAGAACAAACACAAAGCTTGCCAAGTAATAATGGTGATCATGTAATTGTCAATATAGCTTCAAAAGATTAAACTTTTGTCGTTTCTTTCACTTAGTAAGTTACTTTCCAATAATGCTCAATCCCACTTGTTGTTGCAATGCTGAGAGGCTGGCAATGGGAAGGAGAGATTCATTCATCTGTAGTGCATTTGTCACTCATTTGCTGGCAGAAGTCTGTGATGCCGCTGTTCTGTCCACACGGCTCCACGAGCGACGTTTGCTCCGATGCTCTGGCAGGAACTGGATGCAGTTCTTGTACTTGATCGTACGCGGCCTCACACACGCTTTTGACACACTGATAACAGGAACTCTGCTCAGCTGTAGGTGGGACACCTGAAACACCATTTGCTGATTCTACAGATGCTGGCAGCACAAGCTCACTATCAGATGGAGCTGCTTGTTCTCTTTTTGGGAACAAAAATGAGAGTGGACAATCTGAAGAAGAATATTTTGCAAGTATTTGTATTTGCTCTTGACTCAAGGCCGCTTCCTTACACACCTGTTGGCAAAGTCCAGTCAGATTTTGCTTTGTCTCACCCAGAGTTGATAAAATGTGGTTTCTTTCCTTCAGCAAATTCTCCTTCTCATTTTGCTGCAAAAGGAAAAACAGTATTTTAAATACATCTACATTTGAACATAAAAACTATGTTTTAAGCTCCTATCAAAGCTAAAACAATACCTTAAATACTCTGGTCTGCTGAAATAGAAGTAATTTGGCATTAAGAAAATAAGCAATAACACAATCAAACACATATCAAAAGGTCAATCCTAACCTCTCTGGAAGCATCATCAGGTAAGATATTTGATCTGTTTTTTCAGATACGCAAACTCATGCTGGCAGACAAAGGAGTAATTTGTAGTTATTGAACAAATGAAACATAGCTGCACTTACAGTGAACATTCCTGAAACACTAGTTCTACAGGATAACACAAACCACTACCAATGAGCCAACAAAACATTGAGCAGTCTTCATAGAGATCTGTATTTTAAAATTGAAATGCTGAAAATCACATTTTAATTGCTGATACTCTTCTATTTGGTGAAAGTAACTTACATTCTTAAGAAGTGCCAAATCCACTACAGGACAAACAATGTAGTTAAGTATAGTTCTTAAATTAGATAGAAAATTTCAGAAAGGTAAAGGAAAGAAGATGTGGTGAACAACTAACAACTTAGAGATTATGTAGCAGGATTGTCCAAGCACATGGCAACAAACAGGATGGCAACTCAATAATAACTATCAAGTAGAAAAAAGTAGCCTGTATTAAATCAAGTTTTTACTTGGCTTCAATGTTGTGAATTTTTGTGAGACTTCTGATAGAACTGGCTAAAGATGAAAAGACACTGATAACTGAGAAGACTAATCACGGAAACAAGCAACTTTTTGAATAAAGAAAAATGAGGAAATGGCAAAGGATAGGGAACAACCAAGACCATCACGAAGAAGTTGAACGAAAAAGACAAAGAACCCGAATCCAAACATGTCACAAACATTTTTAGTTCTGTAATTAATTAATTAAAAGAAGATAGATTTTTGAAGACACACAAGGCTTTAAATAGTTTACAAGTCTTAATCATAGGGATTATGTGTTACATCTACTGTTATGTCAACTCGCTCTTGTAAAGTTTTATTATTTTCACTCCTCACATCCCCTTTTGCAGAGAAACCTCATAATGCAGCCTCTACAACTTCTTTTTGAAAGAACTGATTTAAGTTTAGGCAGCATTTGGCAAGAGGAACAGTTGTTGCCAGTTCTTTTTGTCTAAAATTAGAAGAAAGAGGACTTGGCGAATAAATTTCTATTTGTCAGCATACTGGGAACAGCTGTTAATCATAAAATATGCCACACTGGAAAGGAGCCATCAGGGTCACTGAGTCCAACTCCTGAGCCTGCACAGGATACCTCAAGAGTCACACCCTGTGCCTGAGAACTTTGTCCAAACACTTCTTGAACTCTGTCAGGCTTGGTGCTGTGACCACTGCCCTGGGGAATCTGCTCCAGTGTCCAACTACCCTACAGGGGGAAGAGGCTTTTCCTAATGTCCAACCTAAACCTTCCATGACTTGGCTTTATGCTGTTTCCTCGAGTCCCGTCACTAGTCACAAGGAGATTGGCACCTGTCCCTCTGGAGGATGCTGAAGACCTCAATGAGATCTCCCCTCAGTCTCCTTTTCTCCAGCCTGAACAGACTGAATGCCCACAGTCATCTCTCATAAGATTTGCCCCCTCCAGACCCTTCCCCATCCTCATGACCCTTCTTTGGATGCTCTCCAATGGCTTAAGACCATTTTTTAAACCATGGTGCCCAAAACTGCCCCCAGCACTCGAGGTGAGGCTGCCCCAGTGCAGAGCAGAGCGGGACAATGCCCCCTCTTGCCTGGCTGGCAATTCTGTGCCTGATGCCCCCAGGACACGGATGTCCCTCCTAGCTACCAGGGCACTGCTGACTCCTGTTCAACTGGCCATGGACCAGGAACCCCAGGTCCCTTTCTACAGCTGCTCTCCAGCCTCATTCCCCAGTCCACACACACAGCCAGGGCTGCCCTGTCCCCAAGCAGATCTGGCACTTGTCCTCATTAAACTCCACAGTGTTGGTGATTGTCCAAGTGTCCAATTGGTCCAGGTCTCTCTGCAGGGCCTCTTTGCCCTTGGGGGAGTTGACAAACTCCTCCCAGTTAGTGTCAATGGCAAACCTAGGGTGTGATCCATTGAGTCCTCTGTCCAGGTGGTCAATGAAGATGGTGAGGAGCACAGGGCTCAGGATGCAGCCCTGCAGAACCCCACTGGGGACCTGATGTCACCCCAGTCACTGTCACCATTTGCTCCTGACCCATGAGCCAGTTGCTCTCCCCAACATGATGTTTTTATCCAGCTGTGGGCTGCACATTTTGTTCAGAAGGATCCTGGGAGAGCCTGTCAAAATCTTTGGTGAAGTCCAAGAGGATTACATCTACTAGCTTTCCTAGATCAGCTGGGTGGGTTACCCTGCCATACAAGGTAATCATTTGACAAGCAGGACTTTCCCCTCATGGAGCCATGCTGGCTGTGACTGATCCCTGCATTCTTCTCCAGGTGTTTTTCAATACTGATCAGAATAATCTTTCCATTCATTCTGTTAGGCAGATCACCTAATACCTTTTGGGTATGTAGAGGCACTCAGCTCTGCATTATTGACTGATAAAATTATCTGGACTGCTATTTAAAGCAATATTCAGAAATAGTCATTCCAGCATAAATTCCTCACCTCCCTTCTGAAGCTGTTGACAGGTTAATACATTTAAATATTATTGTTTTATTTTATCAGCATAATACTAATACTATAAAACAAAGCCAGTCAGTTTTGAGGTCATAATAAACTAAGAGCTCTTTTGAATCTCCTGCTAAAGAAAGTACTTAGTTCACTCACCTCACCCTGCTATAATATATATAACAAGATCTCAATTACATTTTTCTTGGAGCACTGACACATCCTCCTCAGCTACAGAATCTTCAGCAAATTAGTGCTTCTTGAGACCAGTTGTCCTCTACTCTGCTCCTCCTCGCAAGTACCCTCATTTTAAAAGTTTCCAAGTGAAAAATCCAAGGATGGGTCAGGTTGGAAGGGACCACAGTGGGTCATGTGGTCTGACCTCCCTGCTCAGGCAGGGTCATCCCATTGTCCAGGAGAAAATACAGGGAATGTGAATATACACAGGGTCTCTGAAAGAGCTGTTTCTAACAAGCTGGTTCTAACATTTCCCAAGTAGCCCTTACATATTCTCAAATACAGAACATTAACGAACACCCAGATTCACCTGAAAGGTCAATAAGCAAAGGCCGTATGGGAAGGTAAAAAAATGACTTTATCAGTACAGAAGATCAAAAGACATGATCAAAGGTAACTCTCCCAGATAACACATTCAGCACTGAACAATATTTTTCTTCAATCTAAGTAGAACTTAATGTAAGATTTTCAATTTTACAAAATCACTTGGGAGGGGAGGTACCGCAGCAGTCTGTAGTCTGACCTGCTGCTCAAAACAAAGTCAGAGATCAGGTAAGATCAGGCTGCTCAGGGCTTTGCTCAGTCATGCCATAAAACCCTCAAAGACAGTGCATGCACAGCTTTTCAGGGTGAACTGCTCCACTGCCTGCCTGTCCCCAGTGGAAGAAAAAACTTTCCTTACATTCAGATGAAATCCCCCTTGTAATTTAAGATCACATCTCTTGTTCTCTTGCTGACAAGTACTCCCCCAGAAAGCTGAAGATCTTCCACTACCAAAGGCTGTATAACCTCAAGGACTGCCCCACAGATATGGGCAGGGAGCCATTAGATCTCCCCACCCCTTTTCTGGGTAGAAGCCCCATTTCTTTGGCCTCTCACCACAGAAGTACTTCAGGCCTGGCCATGCCAACGGCCTTCACCCAACCTTCCTTCTGTTGATCAATGTGCTCCTGGGACTGGGCGGGGTGAAAACCCAGCAAACAATTCAGTGTTACATATGCCAAGATAGGAAATAAGCACTGCCCTCCAACAACGGGCTGCACTCCTGTTAACATAGCCCAGGACACTGATGGTGTTTTTTTTTAGTCTGGACATGCTGTCTGACCAGGCCCCAAGGTGCTTGTCAGCAAAGCTACTTGCCAGCTGCTAGTCTCCAGCCTCTAGCCAGGCAGGGGTCATTCTGTTCCAAATATAGGACTTTTCCAAGAAACACACCACAAGCATCTTCTGAAAGAGAAAAAAACTGAAGCAGCACCAAATAGAAACTAATACAAGACAACATGTTGCACATACTGAAAACCAGGATGAGGAATTCCACGAAAAAGTATTTCCTAACTGGTAGTACAGAGTATTATCTACTTGTCAAGAGCTGTCAAACTACAGCTACACCACTCTATTCCCTCTCAAAGCCCCATTACAGATGAAACCATGAGATGATGAAAGTCTAAAAGGTCTGAGACATGACTGACCCAGAGAACCACTCTATTCCCTCTCAAAGCCCCATTACAGGTGAAACCATGAGATGATCAAAGTCTAAAAGGTCTGAGAGGAACAAGGCAGGAGCCATCATGCATGAAACAACCTGGATGTACCATACATAGCCCCTCCTCGACATCTCTTTTCTTCCATCCATCTGGAAATCATGCCTAGACTGATCTTGATGTTTCTGTATTTGCATACAGCTTATACAAATTTGATGATCTTTGGCTGTCAGGCATGGTCAACAGCTCCAAACAGAGTCTTTTCAAGAATTTCTGAAGACACTTATCACACAGTTGAAAAAAACATATGCAACTGGAACATGTTTGTGCCTAGAGGATGATTCATATAACTCAGACCTCACCTCACAGTTCTCAAGACTCAACACTTATTATCTAGGCCTTGCTCAGTGTTACCTGTCAAACAGCAGACATTCAATCTGTTCCAGCATAGGTCCACAGAAAGAAGGATATTATAATTATTAGTTTCAAACAGCCACATGCCTAATCTTGCACATCAACCTTTAATCGCCTGCCCAAGTATTGCAAAATATTGACAGAGTTACATAACAGAAATGACAACACGATGACAAAACCAGGCAAAAAGTTCTGAAGTGTCAGAAATGCAACTTCTCTCTTCAGTAAGGATATTATTAGTACAATCACCTGATTACCCTCCCTCACAGCACACCTTCTTTATTGAGCACAACCTGCTCTGTCAGCTTATCAGAGCTCTGTGGCACTGCAAGCCCTCCTTCAAAGCCGAACTCCTCACTGCAGAAGTAGGAGTAGATGGAGTGAAAGATGATTATCACAAGAAAGTAAGCTTCCAGTCCGTGGCACTTGGCTCTAACTTTCCTTTTCACTTTGAAGTCAAAAAAGATGCAACATGACTGCTGTGTTCCAGCTGATGCAGATACCAAATTCAGGTACACAAAGCCTAAAATGCTCCATGAATGAGAGTACAGTAGTCCTAAACAACTGAACTATTTCATGCACATGGCTATGACCAACTATGAAACTGAGATGAGTCAAACAAAGACTTGTTTTTCTGAAAAGCCACTCAATTATCTTCTTGCCTTTGCTATTTTTACATAATCTTAACCTCAGATTACCTACATTTCTCTTAAATTACATATTTATCTTTTTATTGCCTTCTTAAGGAGGAGAAAATGTATTAACAGATGGCTGCTGAGAAATCTGGATGCATCAATTCCTCAGCTACAATCTTGATGCAACTGCTAAAAAGGCAAGCAACTTCCCAAGTTCTTCTGTATCTTCTGCCTTTCTGCAAGGGTCTCATTTTTAACATTCAAGACTCAGGAAACAGTTTGCCAGCCCATGTTGATGTGTTCCAAGAACAGTACTTACACAACTAACAATTGCGTAACTGCAAACTTGATCATGAGCAATACCATGAGCTGAAGAAAAATCTTGAAGCAAGAAAGGGGAAGAGGCAAAAAGCAGTATAGGATAACAATCTGGGAATCATTCTGTACAATTAAATTCAAAGCTTATGGGTTTCAGAAACATCATTCACCAAAAATTATGCTGTGATGCATGTTTTATTTGAATGGAAACAAGTCCACAGAAGGAAAGATGCGTGTACTTTAGAGCAAGGCTCAGAAAAACCTAAAACTGCTATCAAGGAGTTATACAAGACTAAACTTGAGTGGAAAAAGTAGTAAATTACCCCACTCTCAAGCTACTGCCAGATAGCCAGTCAAGATGTTTAGAGAAAGACATGACAACAGCAATGAATATTTATACATACCAGTTTTTCAATTTCAGATTCAAGATTTTGTATACAGTCAAGTTTTCTCTTGCGACATCGCTGCGCTGCAATTCTGTTTTTACTTCTTCTTCGGATATCATGAATACAGTCCAATTGTTCAGGAGTTAATTTATGCATTTTCAGAAATGCCTGGAAGTCATTTCTGGAAAGTGAGATAATCCTTTGTGCATTAAACGGCAGTTTTACCTAGAATGTGAGACACAGTTGTAAATCTAAGGTGGAACTGATATACACAAACACCAACAACTCAAGTTTCCATCTCAAGCATTCTTTACCACACAACTCATCTTTATTCCTACATCTCAGAGACAAGAGCAAACTAACAACCATCAGATGATGGGATAAAATCCAGGGGATTCAACTACAGGAGTTCAAGCACAGGTGCAGTAGAGCTTAGATCCTTACAAGCATATTCAGAATAGGCTGAAAGCTACTTGTGTGTGCATCAAATATGCAGGTGATACGCTCTAAGAACGAGTTACAGTTTGGTCAGATACAAAACAGGTGTCAAGACTCACTCATACAGTCTAAAGTTTTGCCAAAGCTGCTATTAAGACTGTATCCTGCATACAGTTTTATACCTATGCTTTTTTTTTTTCTGCAGGAAAAGTTCATCTGAAACAGGTATTTCCTTAAAATACAGAAGTTACAATATTCATCTTTTATTTTTTGGAGAAGACAGAGGACCAGGCTCTTGCTACTGTTGTATACCTGAACTACAAAAGCATTTGAGATCACAAAGTGTTGACTAATACTGAAAAAATATTTACCTTTACAAAATAATCACCATGGTTTTGAGTATCCAACTAAAGACATTTTATTTTAATCCTTAGATTTAAGTGTAGTAAGTAGCAGAATATGTCACCTTGCTGTGGTCAAAGGTCTGAATTTAGTTTAAAAAGAACACAGAGAAATCTTTCCTCTGACTGGCTACTACTGGTGACAAACAGGAAAAAAATAATAAGAAATCCCAGAGTACTGTCCTCAGCAATGATACCACTTTCTCTGCCACATAAATGGGAGGAATGTATTTAACGAATTCTGGCCTTTTGTTTAGCATTCCAGATTTTTTGTATTGATGGCAGGTTCCACTTATGTTCAGCCTCAGTAAGGCCCTGCATCTTGAAAAATAAAAACCCTAGTGCTTTGAGAACAACTGAATTTTTGTAACATTGAATGATCTATCATGCAGAGTTACACTGCGATTCTATGATTCGAACTGAGATGGAAATTGTTCCAGGTATATCACTTAGTACTAGAGAAGGTGATATTATTAAACAGTCTTAAATATACAGCTGTTGAAGCAAGTTTAAAAGCTTAATTTTCACTTCACATTAAATCTAAAGTATAATTTCTCTCCCACCTTCACCCCACAGCTCAGAATAAACCCAAGAAAACTGGTAAGTTTCTATTAAACAAAGGTTCCAAGAAGTTTAGAGTTTACTTAAACTGTAGCAGATAAAAGAAAAAAAAAATCTAAGAATGAACCTTCATGCCTTGATTTAAGGCTCACAACTTTTTCTGACAGTTCCAGAAAAAATCTTAAAAGATCTAATATGTAAGCATCTAACACTTCAGTATCTGACCAAAAATACTTTCATACTTTTATTCAGTCTCCCTGAATTAACAGCGACCTTTCATATAAACCTCTGAATGGTTATTTAAAGTTTCAGTACCAGACTTTTTAAAACAAGCAGCCACAGAAAAAACCCCAAAACAACAAAACACGGAAAACTCAGATTTTTGAATACGGCCTTAAAAGACTGGGAAGCAAAGGATACATCAGGATATTCTTACCTCACATTCTTGCTCTCTTGCTGAACAGGATTCACTGTCTCCCTCAGTGTCAGTCTCCGAATCCTCTCCCAGACTTATCACATAGTTATAGGGACACTGTTCTTGTTGCTGTCCCTGAACATAATCTCCACTGTTTATTTCAGAGGTGTTGGAACATCCTTCAGTGCTAAGATTGCTTATAAAGGGGCAATTGACTGAATTCAGTGTTGTAAAAGTTCGCTGAGAGCAAGGTTCAGGGCTTTCACTGATCCTGATCCCCAGCCACGGACACTCTGGTTTTTTCCCCGAGTACGTGGGCTCCAAATACTCTTTAGAAACTGCAGGTGGTAAATGTATTTGACAGGCATCTGTGCTGTGAACATCACTCCAGAACCCCTGTGCCAGCTGTTCTGCTATCTCTCTTTCCACACTGCTTCGATCTCCAGCTGAGGTGATGCTAGTGGCTTCCCTAATGCACAAATCCACCTTTGAAGATGGGTTACCTTGACTTTCAGTTTTGTCATTTCCAGCTCCAGTACTTAACACAGTTTTTTCAGCTAAGACCGTGTTGTTTTGCATACTACTGAAATTCAAGTTACCATATTGCTCACAACTATGTAAAATAGACACAGAATTGAGTCCATGAGGTGCAGCAGAGTTTTGGGGGAAAGCAGCAAGATCCATTTTCTCCACAGGACATGACACATTCCGAGTTGCAGAATCTCTCCTTGACTCTTCTTTTTTCTGAATGCCTTCTTCCCCTTCCTCCATTTCTACCTGAGTCTCTTCACAGTTTGAGATCAGCTGCATAGGCACACACTCCTGAGCTTTTTGTATACCATCATTATCAGGTATTTCCTTCTCAAGAGAAGTTGCAAATGGTGGTACCTGAACATCTTTAATACTGGAACTGGACTCTGAAGTATTAACTTTGTCATTTCCAAAGGCTTTCTGGAATTTTCTGTACTTTGGGCATTGGGAAGATAAGCTGGAAGCACTACCCCTTTCTAAATGTATAGGATCACAGTTTTGATTGGCATTATTTTGGAGAACAGGTGATGATTTAGCATTTTCTTCATCTTTACAGGGCTTTGTGTCAGGAATTTGACTATATTCCTTTTCTAGAAGTGCTTCTACTTCATAATTTATTTCTAGGTCTGCATCATCCACATTGCCAGTTTTAGGGTTTGCTTTCTGACAATGCTGTGTGCAACACTTCTTCCTAGGACATTCCTGCTGATCCAATTTAAAGTCCAAAAATCTGAATTTGAGAAATTGAAAGCAGGACTCCTCAATGTTGTGTACACCCAGAAATTCTGCACATTTGCAAACCTCGGACACATTGTCTTTATTTAAAACAAGTTTTGCTGTATACGCAAACTGAAGCAAAGGACTAAATCCTTTAAGTGTTACCTATTACAAAAACAAATTAAAACAAAAAAATTAGTATGGTCAATTTGGCTTTAAGCAGAGAAATACACAAATCTACCTGTCTTGCCAGCAGGACAGAGCACAGGACAAAAGCAGCAGACTTGTTCTATTGTGAAAACTTGGTCAAACTCATTCTGAAACAATTCTTCTGATACAATCGTATCACACATATTTTGTGACAGTTTTCTTTACTGTGATCTGTCTCTTAATGAAACGTTCTGGCAATGCAGTACTATAAGCAGAAAGTACTGTTGCATACTGAAAATCTAGTAGTAACTAGATTCCAACCTCACAAAGATATATTTCAAAGCAAGTTGTATACTAATTACTTTACAGTATGCTGCTGGTATTTAATTGTAGTTTTCCATGAGCAATTACTGTTAATCACTTAGTCTTATGCACCATTCATGCAAAAAGTTCAAAGAAATAGAGTTTGATCACATGTGATTATTTACTACTACAGCCACCTACTCCTTTCTTCCTCCCATAGATTTAATGAAAGGCACTCAAAAATGGTACACCAAACAGAATTTTCAGTTTAAAGACCCTTTAGAGCAAGGGATTTTAATTGAACATTTATGTCTTCACAGCAGTTGCCTATCAAGGAACCCAGAGATAAACAAAGACTGTATCATTAGAAACTGCGCAAGATCTTCTACGCATAAAAAAAATGTCTAAGGAATCAAGCAGAAAGCCACAAACAGATCCCACAGATTACCAACTACATGACACTTCCTTTAGCCTCTTCTCTGCAAATCAAGAATAAAGCAGTACGTCCACTAACTAAACTCAAGTCCACACTCTGCTCTCTGCCTTTACTGAAATGACCAGTATTTTATGTTAAATAAAGCACTATATCAATGCATTAACTACACTGAACCCTTCTGCCAGCAAAATAATGAATTATTCATGCAATTCAATTTAAGAATCAGTTGAGGGTTTGTTTCCTTTGGTTTTTTTAGTAGTTGTTTGGTATGTTCTTTTTAAAGAATACAACACATGAAGTTGATGAGATCTGCACAGAGCCCAGTCCTTTAAAACTGTCTGTAAACACTTACAACCTTCCTAAAGAATTCTTAAAATAGCATTTGAAATATGCTCTGGAGATTATACCACCACATTAATTCATCCTTTAAAATGCAGGGAAGCAGAATGTAAAAGACAGTTGATCCATAAGCTGTCAACATGTCTTCAGACTTAGTGTAGTTAACAAAACATTAAAGTTGCTTTACAAATAAGTAGCATTCATAAATGAAACTGAAATAAAAAAAATACAACGGTATTTTAAAACTGTAACTTTTTTTCTATTTAAAGGGGACACACTACAAAAACTGCAATGATCAAGAGGGGAAAAATACTCCTTTCACTTTCTCTTATATACTTCTAGCTAGCTATGCTCAAACAAGAAAAAATCGTAGAAAGACTCTTAGTGTGACTGACCTAGAAAAGCACTTCTTGCAGTAGTCATTTATCTAATTTTTATTTGGGATGAAAGCCAAAGAATAAAAGCACTGGCAAAAAACCAACAGACCTCAGAGCAAGATGACAGCACTTAGTCTTTACAATATAATATATATGAAGTACTTGAATTAAAAAAATATTTTTGGTACCCCAAATTGTGGGCTGGTGTCTTTCAGCTCTTAAATCCCCTACTCTAAATCGTCAGTTAAACCCCAGCCTACCATAAAACAGAACTGAACAAAGCAGATTAGAAGCACTGCGAGGTAAAATGCAGAAGGGAGTGACACTCACCTCTTCCGGTAAGGTGATGATAAGATCAGCGTCCACCTGGCCCACAATTCTTGAAAGAAAGTAACTGCTGCAAGCTGCAAGCACAGCTTTGTGGGCCCGAAATCGCTGATCTTCCACTAAAATTGTAACATCACAAAGGATATCTTGCTTTCGCTGATCATCGAGGCTGAGGAGTATGTTGGTACTGTGCACTGAAGATTCATAGGCAAACACCACACTGTTGTTCTCACTTAGAGACATTCTGTATCACAGGTGGTAGCGTGAGGCTCAGTGGAAAGCATGCTTCTGTGCTTCAGACCTGGGGGAGCAAAGAAACGAGGTGACAAGGTGTACCCCTGAGAGTCACGTCCAACAGGAGGAACCCAGCGGTTCTGAAACACGTTAAACGTGCGCTGGCCTGGTCTAATTCTTCTTCAAATCAGTACTTCAAATAAATGCATGCTTGTGACTATTTAAAGTACCCAAACCTTGATGTGTACATCTTAACACAGCTTTTATAATCTCATAGACCAAAAAATGGACCTCTGCAATAAAGAACAGTTCTTTCTTAGCCAAGTGATTCAGAGGTATAAATTTACTGTAACACCTAGAAATTATCTAAGCTTTCATTCTTAGTAATTGGTATATTCTAACTCCAGCACTATGAAAATGTAAAGAGAAATAAAACAAATGCATTAAACTAAAATTCACCAAAATACTATGCGAGCTATTTCATTTTACTGATTCACCTAATGCAGTCAAAAATATATGTGTTCTGTCTTCTTTCAAAAGTATTTTGTCTGCTAAACCAATCAGGCATTGGCAAAATACCCTGATTTTCTAGTAGGTTGGTGTTTTAAAATGTGAATTCTCTAACTGCCTTAACACAAACTTTTCCCCCCCTTTTCTTCCATGACTACTTGATTTGTCATACTTTTTACAAGCTTGCTTTCCAAATGGATCATTATGATTCAGATCACCTGGCAATGGAATACTGTCTCTCTTCTGACAAAGTTCTCAAATAACACTATTCATTGGATAATAAACAACAGTTAATATTATACAATATTTAAAACCTTGAAATATATAACTCATATATAATGGTTCTGAAGATTCTTAAATTTGCAGAAAAATAGAAGGGCTAGGGAGAAGGCAGCTCTGCTAGAGAGTGCAAAGTTTGAAAGTATTTCCAAATCTGATCTTTACACTGTATTTCACTTTCAACTGAGCCTAGCTTCCAATTAAAAGGAAGAAAAAAGATTATTAAGAAGTGTCCTTGCTCGATCAAGAAACCACTTAAATCAGATTTGGAATTATCCTACAAAGAAAACATGGTATTACTAGGACACATTATACCTTAACAAGCCAAGCATTCAGATTACACTTGACCCCAGAGTTCCTGTAATTGAGCACAGCTGTGGAGACTCACTTCAGCTGACACGGGACTACCTCATGGCTCTATTGCTCAACAGAGGTTGTCACCATCTGCCAGTTCCCAACAATAATGAAACTGTAGCCAGTGTAAATCCTCAGGTTTCAGGTGTGGGGAAACTTTCACAACATGGGGAGTGCACAGGGCATGGACATATTTAAAAACACTGTGGAAAAAGCAACCACGCTGCCAGCTGTGCTCCTGGTTACTCACTGCTCAAGCTATTTTCACGGCACACGGGCATTTTGAGTGAACTTTTGAACAGAAAGAGAGAAAAAGATCCCTATTTCCAGTGGCAGCAACAGCACAGTACTGGTCTGGACCCCAGGGAGTGCAGAGCACATTAGCATTACCTGCCTGTCCCACTCCATTATGGAACACTGTACACTTAATTTCACCAACAAAATGTACAAATGTATGGTGAAAACACAAGTTTTGAGGGGAAAATCCCTGAAGTTCCACAAAGCTGAGTTTTTCTCTGTAAGAAGCAGTAGAGAAAGTGCTATATGCCATGCACTGTTAATCTTAAAGGGTTTATTTTTGGAAGGAAACAGTTTAAATGTTTTCATATACCTAATAACAAGACTACAGATTCATTAACTTAGGAAATATTTAATTTCCAGTCAATTTACAGGGGAACAAAATTATTCCTCATGGAACTGCTATTCATGAAACTCTATTTTTAGAAGAGCTTATGAAAAGTAACTAGTGCAATATAAATTATATATTCCTAACTGGATTGCTGTACAGCCTAACTGATCATCTTGCTCATATCTTACAGCACACAAAGTTTAATGAAGTATAACTCATGTATTTGTTACAAGGTAAAAAAAAAACTCAAAACCCCAAAAAGTAACAGAGGACAAACCAGAAAGATTGAAGAGTAAATCCACAGTGGTGGGGAGCACAGGGAAGTATTATAGACAAGGACATATTCTGGGTGAGCACTTAGGCAAAACTCATGAGGGAATCTATAGTTAAAGACAAGCCTTAAAATGTTCTTTTTTTCTGTCTTCTTAGATAGACAACACATATCATATATGCTGCTTTTGGGTTTTTCCTGATTAAATAATTAATTCCAATATCCAGTTCAGTTCACTATACTTCTCTAGCACAGAAGGCTAAAAGGAACAGTAGTTTATTTCTATTTGTATATTTACAGAAAAATTAATGCAAAGAAGAGTTAACTGTCCTTCTCTTTTATCTCTGTGAGACGCACACCATCCTTTCAAAGCAGCTTGTGGACTACTTGGAGCACTGAGGGAAAGCTTTCAATATTTCAGCTGCCAGGAAAAAAAAAATAAGCTTTCCACACTGAAACACTACCTTCTGTTTCTTGAGAAGTGAATGAAATACTTAGTTTGAGCATAACTCCATTTAACACTTTACTCTGACAGAATGTTGTACCTCCTAATTGTGAGGACTTCATCAGCCAAGTTATGTCCCCTCTACATTTAAACAGGATGACAAGTTTGAAGTATCCAAAATATAGCATGCAGCACTTAATAAGCATTTCAAACATTAGGAGAACCCTTAAAAAACCCCACAAAACAAAAATACCACTCCCACACTACCCTCAAACATTAAATTTGTCTCAGTCTTTGTAAAATTTAGGTATTCAAATACAATTAAAAAAATCCAAAGGTAAAACATCAGAAAACCGAAAATGCCGGTGAAAACAAAAGCATGAAATGGGAAAGAGAAAATGCAACCACTGTTAAAAGCTGTTACACTTAAGAACTAACAGAGGTCAAACTTGTGAATGTCTGAATTCTGTTTTCCAGTTGTGTAATTAGGGCAGGATACCACATTTATGATAGTATCTGTCATGACAGCCAACCCGATTTTCCACAGCATCGAGAGTACAAAATACCTTCTCTATAACTAGATTTGTTCTACACACATCCACAACAAGAATGGTTCCTGTCGCAGCAAAGAGAAAAAGTACATCTCTTCTGTGAATGGTTAAATTTCTCTTCTACTATAACTGTTCTTCTAGACCACTCAGAATTCTTAAAATTAGTTTTATTTATGATTGGGTGGACAAAGAAGGGAAAAGGTATGAAGCAGAGAAAGCAATTCAATTAAACTTACAAGTTTTTGCTACAACTGTCATGAGAATAGGCCTTCTAGGCTTTTCTGTCCATTTTACATAATTGAATTTTCTACAAATATTACTTATCAGGCTCTTTTTACCACTTTCGGAAATAATATCAGCAGCCAGGTATTAAAAAGGAAAATCGATACTACAAACAATAACAAATAGATATTTGTAACAGACATTGCCATAAGAAATATGGAGAGTCCAGAAAGATCTTCCAAAATTTAAAATAGTTCTCATAACAGAGGTTGGAAGGATTAAAGAAGTAACACCATGAAAGCTCACTCTACAAATCCTCGGTTTGTGGAAGAAAACTAGTAGTGTGAGCATTCTTCAAATTCCTCTCACCTGAAACCCTGCACACCTAATAATCTCATACTCTTGAGACTGAAAATGAAAAAATGAATGTGAATGTAAGCATACACACATGCTAGTATAAAACCTACAGGAACACCTGAAGCACAACCAATCAAGTTCTGCTTTGAGAACACAACCAAGTCTGCTACTACAAAGTTTTCATTCTTTACCAGTGATCTTGAGATAAATAATATTTTGCATAAGGACAAAAATATTTCCTCCTAAGTACCAGCTATAAAACTTTATTCTGCTTTATCAAAGAGAAGTAACTCAATTTTTTTCTCCCTACTAGTATACAATTATGAAAATTATGCCCAACAGTTACCTCCAAAATTACCATATCTTCAGTAAATTTAGACATGTCTCGATCCAAATGACTATATATATTTATTTTTTCTGAAGAACATATAAATACTTATGTTAATGGAAATCAGTAGTGCAACCACATTTAAAGAAGGAATACATGTTTCTTTTAAGTACACAGTATAGAGACCCGAGCAAAATGCTCATTAGGACTCCTTGTAAAATACACATCTCATCCAAGGCTCATTTTTCTCATGCATTCAAAGTCATTCACTACATTATTACAGGAAGGTAATAGTGAGGTACAGTGAATGTAAGGTACTTTAAAATTAGGCTGCAGGTTTGCTCATCTGACTGCTTACACCTGGTAACAATTACTGCTCTTTACCAGCTGACTGGAGAATAAAGGTAGATATAAAATCCTTTACCTCCTTCCACCACAGTCTCCGCTTTAGAGTCACTTGATGTAGATTCTCAGGTAAACCATAAAGTCTCCCCATTGATAGTTAAAAAAAAAAAAAAGTATTCCGAAGATGAGACTCATGATGGTTGAAACCAGGCAAAGCTAAAGCTATAAGGAACTAAGTTACAGAAGAAAATAGCAGTAAAACAGGTAAGCTTGTTGAGGAACGTATCCACTGCATGTAGAGTACAAGAGTAGGAACAGAGTACCAGAGTAGAACCCAAAATAGTGTGATGTATTCCTCATCCACACAAAAATCTCACACAAGGCAGACAAACTTTCATCCAAGCTCAGCACCACCACCACATGTAAGAGGACACTCAACATCCTGTGGACAAATAAGTGTCCTGGAAGAGTTGAAGGAAGCTAAAAGGCATCAAATTGTCATTTAAGGTGACAAAAGCACGCACATTTGCATATATCTTTACCAAAACGCTTTTTGAACATTCTGAATGTTTCAAGTGTCATTAAAAATACTAAATCAGAGCACAGAAACCCATGAAAATCTTTGACAGTCATATCTTTACTACTTTGAAGACTCAGACTTTCAGGAAAAACAGCTATTTACATTTTACAATCTTCACTCTATGTGCTAAATCCAAGGACCTGGAAAATTAAATTATAGTATCTAATGGTCACCAAGATGCACTGGGAACACCAAATCTAGAGGCAGCATCCATCTCTGCATATCAAAGTTTGTCTTCCAAATTATTTTTTCCCCTCCAAACTACAGTTTTTTCAAATTCAGGAAAAAACAGACTGAAGAGCAGAGTAAACGGGAGAAGGTTTTGATACAGAAACCACTTGACACTCTCCCTCTTCTGGACAGCTCAGGACCCAGCACTCCAGTAAGCCTTGCAGAGCAGCCATTCCTATCCAGCAGGATCTCACCGTGCCTCTGTGACCAGGAATTTCCTTATCACCACCTAAACACTGAAGAAGAGAGGACTCATCCAAAGGCACCCGATGTAATCCAATCTAGGATCCAAACCTAACAATTGTCTCAAAAAATCACTGCCAAATAAAACACAGGAAACTAAATTGTTACCATCAACTGTAACATACCTAAGAGCAACTGGGGCAATAAACTAGCAAAAATGGACCTGTGGTCCTGCTGTTTAAGCTCCACTAAGCCATAGTTCTAGCAAGAGCCAAGCAAAAGCACTTCAGCTACAAGAGTTACATCCTACAAGCTCAGTGCTCTTTTAAAGAGCAAAAGCCTCTTATTTTCCATCGGTGAATGAATCCAATTTAGATATTCCTATAAAGAAGAGCTAGCCTTTTATTCCTAGAATCAGATGTAAATTAAGCATCCCTACCATCCCAATCAACTCAGTCTACACATGTCTGGCTTTTTTCTGATCTGCACCTACCATATAATTTCCATACATGATCCAGCTTAAGGTTACCCAAATTACTAAAAATGTAAACAAAACCCTGTTCCTTAGTCCTTCCTTAGTGAACAAGGATCTAGCAATACCACACCGGGTACCAACCCTCTCTAGCAATCCCAGCATCACTTGTACCCTGGTGAAGTTCTGAAATAAGAGAGCAAAGCTCCCCTTGGTAGCTGCAGAACCGAGGCAGGACACACCTTGGCTGTCACTGCTCTCTAAGCTGCTTGAACTTGGGCACCCAGATGTAAATTCAGTTGTGATCACAAAAATGATAATACTAGCAAGATTAATTTATCACCTAGCAGACAATAAGGGTCTGTTCAGTTAGCACCATGCTTCTAAAACATCTGTATCCTTGGAACACTACAAATTCCTCAGTTGGTAAAAATATAATTGTAGACCCTCAAAAATATAGCCTGGAGAAAACAAAACTCTTGGTGTAACTCCTATTATGCTGACCTATTGAGTAAGTTCTAGCAGGTCAGTCATTCCATCAGTTTTCTTAGGATTGACATTTACACTTACTTTAGCCTACAAAAAAAGTTCTGTCATCCACACATGTGAAGTCCAAAGTGACAACTATAATTTACTACTGCTAAAACAAGACAGTTTAGATAAGATACAGCTCATTCAAAACACATTGCAAAGGCTTTTTTCTACAATTTTATCTCTCTGTCCTTGCCCCCAGCTCTCTCTCCTTTTAAGGAAATAGTTATATTACAGATGAATGCCTACAGTGGTTAATAGCTGCTGATTCACATTATGCTGACAAAGAATGAACAAGCATTTTAGTGTGCATGCTCGTTGCTTCATCTTCAAAAAGAACGCAAAAGAAAAAAGTGATAAAAAACGAAAAAGCAAGCTTTGCTGCCCAAGAACAATGCTTTCTCCTTTAGGAAGAAAGTGTATTTAATCTTCAGTTATTAGTAGAGTCATAATTCTAAACTGTCTTCTTTATTAGTCCAACACATGGAAGGTATTATTCACAGCTTAATTACATATATGAGATTTAAAAAAATTACTAGTCTGTATTTTTGTAGAATAATTTTAAACACTGCATTTGGACTCCTGTCAAGTCACAAGTGAGTATTAAAAAGAATCACATAAGTCTGACAAGTCTTAAGTCTGGGCTAAGACCTGTTTTCCAGGTTTTAAGACTGAATACACACTTTTTTTCTCAGTATTTGCATGCTGTTTGAGAAACTGGGACATGGGAAGGAGAGCAAGGGGGATCCTGGGAATCCTAGTAGTCACAAGCTTCCAGAGGCCATGATTTTAAAAGGAAAAGAGATTGATACCATGTAACCATAGACATTTTCCAAAGAACAGACGTTTGAAAAGCTTCCCCCAGAGGATGACACAAAGTCCGTGTCAAAGCCAAATAAACCTCAAACTACTCTGCAGTTTCCCATTATTTTAGATGACGCTAATTGTTTAATTTTTGGATCAGGGATAAAAATCATGTTGTGGGATTTGGTTTGTTTCACTGCTAAAAAATGAAATAGGTCTGAAGGGATTTCAGAGACGCCTCTGAAAAATCCCATCACTTCCAGCCCTTCAGTTGTGCTGGTATTCACAGAGAAATGCTCTGGAAAGATAACAATGCACAGACTTTCTACAGAACTTTCAAAAAACCCCCAAAGCATCTATCAACAACAAAAATAACCACAAACACAACACCCCAAAAATACAAGTAAAAAGTGGTTTCATTTTTTTTCTTAAATAAGTACTAGGTTAGATAATAAAATATTCACTTAGGATAAGTAAAGCATGCACAACTAAAATCTACTGTCAATTCCTGCCTTTGCTTAAAGGACAAATACCTTTGTATTTAGAGCTACATATTCTACTCATTGCCACATTTAAACAAACCACATTAATCACTTCATCTGAATGACTATCACAATCCATTTACAAGTAGATATGTCAAAATATTTATGATGAATACTAAATTAACCATTTAATGCACTTAGAAAGACACAAGAAACAAGCTGAAAGCACTGTGAAACAGCTATATTTCCAGGTCAAAAAAAAATCTTGTTGGAAATTATATTCAGAATCTCATTGCTGGCATTATCTGTTTAACTTTGATTTGTTTCTACAACTGTTCTTCACAGTATGTGAAACTGAAAGAAACCTGCAAATGTTTTAGACATAAATCAGAATGAACTTCAGAAACATTTCTATGAAAACAGAACAGCACAGGTTTATCAGAACTAACAATATATAATAACAAAATTAAAAAAAAAATATATGCACTAGACCAGGCTTCAGATAGTAGCACTAGTAAAGGTCTCAAAAAAATCACATGAAATTGTCTCAGTCTTCCCATCCTGAAACTGTAGACTATTTTCTATCTTTGACATATGATGTCAAAAGACACAATCTTTCTAACTGACCTGTAAGTAAACATTTTTGGGATGCTACCACATGAAATACTGATCTCTGACTCTCTGGGGGGAGAACATCAGAAGGACATGGATCTTCTGGAATAAGTCTAGAGAAAAACAAAAAGATGCTCTGGAGGCTGGAGCCCCTCTGCTCTGGAGACAGGCTGGGAGAGCTGGGGGTGTTCATCCCGGAGAAGAGAAGGCTCCAGGGAGACCTCAGAGCCCCTGGCAGTGCCTAAGAGGCTCCAGGAGAGCTGGAGAGGGACTCTGGACAAGGGTCTGGACTGGCAGAACAAGGAGGAGTGGCTTCAAATAGAAAGAAAGCAGGCTTTAGCTATTAGAAAAATTCTGCCCTGTGAGGGTGGTGAGGCCCTGGCACAGGTTGCCCAGAGAAGCTGTGGCTGCCCCATCCCTGAAGCGGTGAAAGCCAGGCTGGATGAGGCTTGGATTAACCTGATCTAGTGCAAGGTGTCCCTGCTCATGGCAGTGGGTTGGAAATGGATGATCTTTTAAGGTCCCTTCCCATGCAAACCACTCCAGGATTCTGAGATTTGATGACCTTAAAAGTAGCATGAACAGGGCGAGCAAGTGCCATATATTTATTTATCACAGTATTTGTCAATGGGGCAAGACTGGAATCCAGACACCTACAAACATCATGTTGACAGTTCAAATAAAGTCATTCACAAAGTATCTCAACACAATTTTTAAAATTACTTGAATATTCTTTAAGACACAGGCTCTCATTTAGTTACTGACACCCTAGGCTACAGCTCTCCCGCTCTCCAATGTATGTTTAATGATTAAACTCAATTTATTTGTATTTCACCAATGCTTCTAAAGTCAATTTACCCTTCACAGCACACTTTCCCCTTTTTAAAGCTTCAGTAGCTGGTCAGTTGAGCCTAACTCTGACCTTCTAACTCACTTTTATACCAAATACTACATTTTCCCTTCATACTTCACAAGAACAAAACTTTCTTCCACCCTTAAGAGTGCCTTAACCAAAAAAAACCTGCATACTGCTGGAAACAGAGTGCCTTGTGATGCAGCCTTTGATTTATTACAGCAAAGCAAGCCTTTCCATCACTTTTAGACCCCTCTCCAGACTGCTTACCTGTGAATTAGAGGTAGGGGCAGGGAAACCTGCAGGTGGATCCTCATACATCATCCTCACTGTGGTCACACTAGGCTGAATCTACACAACTTAATTAACTGGTTCAGCAGTTAATTTTGGCTCACTCAATGTTTTGTTCCTACCCACACTTGCATCAACCAACACGCTACCTCTGGTTTAACTAAGGACTACACATAAACAGGACTCACATTGTGAATACCACAGTGTTTTCTCCTGCTCCCCAAAACCTCCCCCATGAAACTTTCAGTGGTCAAATTCTACGGGACAATTGAAATGCCAGCATTCAGACACAAATGTGAGCCCTCTGACTGATCTACCACTCTTCTCTGCCCCCACACCAGCATGCCCAGTGCAGGGAGAAAGACAGGACTATGGTTAAAAGAAAACCCATGAAGTGTTTACAGAAACATGCTGATTATCAAACTTGGAAGGTAGGGATGACAAGGTGACTTGTTTAAGTATGTTTCCCTGAACCACAGAGCAGAGTTATTTGGGACTTACAGAACTCATGTGCAAAGACCTGTCTATTCTACACCTAACAAGAGTGCCCACCTGATCCAAAGGATCAGGTAAAGGTATGGGTTTTAATACTAGACCATTTCTATCGTAAGAAATTCATTAGTGTTCAAAATATCCTTTGCATAATAATATTAGAACTAATTAACAGCAAACATTTAACACATTAAGATTTTCTACATTTTTACACATAAACTCAAAGATATGGCTGACAGAAGCTAAAGCTGTACTTCAGCATTTTAGTTAAAATCAGAAGTGTGCTAGTGAAGTAAACTTCCCAAACACCCCATTTATTATGCTTTTGCTTACATCACAAGATGAACCCAGACAACAAGTGTAGGCTCTTTTTTTGAAGTAAATTGGAAAACACACTCTAGAAGTTCTCAAGAATTTCAAATACTAAGGGATTTATTTTTTTTTTTTTTTAAATTTACTAAGCCAGGTCAAAAGGAAACCTTCTGAAAAACACAGTGGGTATTCAGTTTTCAGCGACAACTGTTTCTCTCTGCAAATCTTCCTGTTTTGGGCCTCACTGCTTGCTAAGGTACATGCAGGCTTATTCACTTGAGTTAGGGCATGCAAGAGTAATTATGCTATTTAAGTAATCTTTAAAGTTAAACTCATATTACAAATCATATTTTGTGATTTACCTTAGATGGTTTAATTCAGACTCATCATGTTGACAGGAATATAGTCCTTTCTTTTCTTGTTGTATGGTGTAATACTTGAGATTAACTAAGTCACTATATGCTAGAGCATCCGAGTGCTGCATCACCTTAATTCACAGTGCTTCTGGATTGCAATTACTCCATTACTGCAGCCAGATGTTTTTCACAGAGAAACTCCTTCCTCAAGTACCTCAAATTAACGTGTCTGTCAAAATTTACTCCACATACAGTTACCTTTACTGCTAGAACACTTTCTCCCTCCTTTTTTAGTTCAAGTAAAGATTTGGAAGACCGAGTTGTAGATGATTTTGGGATCACCGCCAGGCTAAAAGGGGTAACTGTTCTTTTGTGATTACTACATTTCCACCAAGCCCCAAAGCATGCCGAGGATCTGAGCGCACAGAACAGGACGGACGGGATTTGTATTTCGTTGTTTACAATCTAAAACAGACCTTCCCCGGCTCCCCCCTAAGGGAAACGAATACCAGCTGCACCCCTCAGCCCGGCAGAGCGGGGATCGCGGGGCTGCGCCGGCCCTTTCGCCCAGCACCGGGGAGCGCGGCGGGGCAGTCTCGCCTGCGCCAGCGGGGCACAAGGGCACCCCGGCGAGCCGGGGCCGAGGCACGGAGCAAGGAGCGCTCTCGGGGAACGGGGCAACACCCTCAGCAAGGCACCGCCGAGGGAAAGCCGCCACCGGTGCCCGGCGCTGACGAAGCGCCTCCGACACCGCCCCGGCGCCCCCGCGGGCGGGACCCCTGACCCCGCACGGGCCGGGCGGCACCGAGAAAAGGCCGCGCCACCAAGGTAGGGGCTCTGAACGCGCTGCGAACGCGCTGCGATCCCCGCCTCACCGCGCCCTCCGCCCGAAGGGTGCAGTCTGAGCACCCCCGCCGCCAACCCTTCACCGCGCACGCTCCCGCCGCGGCCCGTGCGGTGCAGCTTTACCGCGGTGCAGCGCCCTGCCCTGCCTGGCCCTGCCTGGCCCTGCCTGCTTCCCTTCCCTGCCTCCTGCCCTGCCCTGTCTCCCTCCTTTCGCCCGGCCCCGCTCTGCTCTGCTCTGCTCTGCTCTGCTCTGCCCTGCCCTGCCCCGCCCGGCCCCGCCCTGCCCTGCCCTGCCTGCCTCCTGCCCTGCCTCCTTCCCTCTCTCTGTTCCCTCCCTCCCAAATTCCACGTACCTGTTTATCCAAGGGCACCAGGGAAGGAAGGCAGCCTCCTCCAGAAGCTCCTGAATAAAACGTTATTGACAGCAAATTATGCACTGCCAAGAGTGCTAATGGGAATTGCACTGTTAAGATATTTTAACCCAGTTTAAGAATTTAGTGTGCCTTTGAATGGTTTTTTTTAATGTCTTGTAGAGTGACACACTGTTTTACACTGTATTTGTTGCATAACTTTCTTCAGCTGTTTTTACAGTAGGCTTTCAGTTTCGGTAGAGGCTAATACAGATTTTCCTTCAATGTCTGTTCGCTGATGGCCTTTCACCTTGTTAAGAAGGCAGAATTTAATTATTTGTATTAGTTGGTCAACGTATTCACCAGTACAAAGAGCTGCATTACAAAATAACCTAAGCAATTTGTTGGAGTTTAAATTTAAGAGCAGCTATTAGGTAATGATATCCTAAAAGTAGCATTTGTCTTGAGATTTGGTTACTAACAATACTTAAGGTACTCTGAATCAAAGTTTCTATGCCTGCTTTTTATGTTTTCTATGACTTGTTGTCATGTTCTTACATCTGCTGGGAATTCCTATTCCCCTGGTACTCACACGTGAAGAGGGGAATAAAGGCAACTGTTTAGATGGTAAAAGCTGAGTTGCAGAAGTATGAGATGTTTACAGCACTTAAGCTTAAAATTTAAAATACCTACTGCTAAACTGAAAGTTGGGTTTTTTGGGGTTTTTTTGGTCTTCCACAAAGATTTTTGTGGGGAAGAGAGGGAAACAGAAGAGGGGGAAAAAAGGAATAAAAACAAAAGGAGCTCTTTGGTTGAAAGATTGACTACAAAATTATGGACCGCACCCACCAAGAAGGGATCTTCATCTCCTGTTCTGGATCTTAGGGATGATGCAATTCTTCCTTCCCACACAATAGGGAGTGAAGTTACAGTGTAATAGCTTGGTTCTCACTCACAGTCAGACTGAAGAACTGCATAAGTACGTCCTGCATTGAAATTAGACATAACTAGAAGAGGAAAAAATAAAAAAAAAAAATAGTCAATTTTTTTCCTAAGGTGAAGAGGTAAAACTTTTTATTGAAAGGAGATCTGGGAATCTAAGCTAAAAATCAGGGACATACATCTTCCTGCAGATGAATAACAAAAGCTTTAAGCATTTAAAACAATATAAAAACTCAGGTGACAAATGCTCACAAAGTTAGCGTGCATGATAACAAATAATAACAATATCACCAAAAGAAAGCAAGGGAAAATGTTCCTTTTTTTGAAATAGATTTATTTTTCGGATACAATG